CATTTTCCAAACTGTGCATTTAAACTTTTAAAGGTTTTAAGATACTAAGAAAAGTTTTGCGACCTAAATAGTAGCAGAAATTTAGCGCAAATCGTCTAAATAAGGTGAATGTAATTTTTACATAGTTCTAAATTAACGAAATGATTTTTTTTCCATGAAGATTACGCAAATTTTGCTTTCAATCAGAACTTAAAGATCCACATTGTTTATATTATTTATTATATAATGTTTTACATTTAAGGAAGTAAAAAAGACACTTTACCCCATAACATGTATTGCATTTCTTTGTTTTTCAAAGTTTTTATTAATAATTTTATTTTATTGATGCGAGCAGTTTTCCCATTGAAATTCTAGAAGTGTATCATGCTAAATGACAGCTCTTATTGAAAAGATTAGAAAATGTGTTAAATTAAGTAAAACGCTTTAGAAATTGGACAAATACTGATAATTAAACTGTGTATTGACACAGCAAGAGACGCTCATAATTATAATCACTAGACGACTAATTAATTTCTAGGAGATTAGGTATGCAAATGAGCCTCAGCGTTAACCGTCACCTCTGGTTGCTTGGAAACTAACAGAGCTTTTCATTTTGTGGGAGGAGCAGCTACTTCGCTGCACTGTTGTATTCTTAGAAAGAGTAATTATATGCATAACACCATATAACTGTATATGGCAAACAACCACTAAGTAAACAAAGCTCGACTGTTGCTCATTCACGCTTTAACAGATAAAATGAAAACTAAATTTAAATTATGACTTCTGTAATTTCTTCGAAAAAATATTGCAGACAGTTTCTGATAATGGAATACGGAAAGTAGCTTGATATAAAAACAGATATGATTAATTTATCCGAAATTAAAAGTTTTTAAGTAATCTAATATAAAAGTTATTTCAGATAAGAAGTCTTATTTTACCGTGCAAAATTTGAATGCTGATGTATGATCCAATCTATTATTCATAGCTGACCAAGCAACTAAAGATGACGTCGTTCTAAATTTCCTCCTCAATTGTTGTTACCAGACTACGATTACTACCTGGCCATCCTAAATTATAATCAAAACAATGCATTCAAATAATGAAAACACCAGATTAATAATTATATCTATACATACAAAAATTAATAAATAATATGAATCTCAGTTAAATTAACTTTTTTTATTCAATAATTACGAGATATAATTATCTTGTCAAAATTTCACATCTTCTAAATCATATAATGAAAAATTTGCGAAGATCTCTGGCAGTTTCATATAAAATTAGATCCTGATAATGTTTTTTAGGGCTTGCAAAAATTTATTTGACCTTATCTGTATCATAAATAGCAAGCATGTGCAACTGAATCATTGAAAACGTATTTAAGGGGTCATAATTTTCTTCTGCTTTTATGAACTTATTAACTTTGCTAAAAAGATTTATAGCTAGCTCACACGATATTACTTTTGTAAAATCTACCTTATTTTGGAAGTTTTAAAACGAAATTGTAAAATCTACCTTATTTTGGAAGTTTTAAAATGAAATTCCTTAATAAGATGTAATAGTCTGGAAATATTTGCATATTAAGATTTATTACTAATGTTTCTGATCGAAAGTTTTATCAGTTCTTAAATGAAATGAGCTCAGGTTTTTTAACCATAGCAACAAGATGGGCATCCCCTGAACAAAAATCGCAATAGATTCGGGCCATTTAAGGTAAATTTGACTTTCAGATACTAAAGCAGATATGTGTATTAATGTGAATAATGCCACTTTGTAATTTATTTATCAACTTATATTTTTATGCAAAGTGTTATTATTTTTTAAACTACAGAAACCTACTAATGCAATAAATTATACAATTTGCATGTATTACCAGAATATTTATTACTATTTCATTGAAGGATTAAAATTTTCTCATAAACAAGTTTCAATAAACTGTATTCTTCTACAGAGAACTATTTTATGCATTTGCACTGACTTCATCGTTTCTCTACCTTATCTACATCTGAACCTTTTCTCCTTAAGATTTTATACACATCATATAAAAAGAATGGTTACTAGGTTACTCTCTTTCACTGCAACTTCATCTGATGTCAATTTACAGGTCAACAAATATGCCATGGCACTTGGATTTAAAGTTTTCGCTTAAGCTTCTGCGCGTAAAACTTTAGATTAATTTAATTTTATTAGGAAGACATGCAATAAAGTAATCAATACTTTATTTTTCCATTCATTTGCTTTTCTTAGCCTCCCTTTTTATACCCTTCTGTACCTTTGATATGAATGAACACTTGTACCTTAAACGAATTAGTTCTACCATTACGGAAATTAAATCCATTAAAAGTTCTTAGGTTGGGGGGGGATATAAGAGTTTTAGCTCGGAATTTTATACAGCTCTCTCGGTCAGCAAAACGAAGGATTTCAATAGTTTAAACTGCTTGCTAATTTGTGAGAAGTACTTTTATAATTCAGAACTGATGGACAATGAGCCATTTCTGTTCAGTTTAAAAAGGGAGACTTTTAATCGTCTTATGACTGTAAAATCTCATGTGGGAATGAAACAAGATCAGTTTCTTTCTGCTATAAACTCAAGTTATTTTAACTTCTTTAAAATAATTTATTTACAACTTTTGCTTCTTAAATTTGCTTCAGTTTCTCTCTTCGCTAAATTAAACGTCATTAATTAGTGATTTATTGCTATTGTTTTCATTTCATGAAGATTCGAATCACTGTACAGTATGAAAACAGAATAAATTTCGCGAATGAGTTAGGAAACATCAGTAACTGAAATAAAATCTTTTACGTAAGAAAATAATTTGTGATTTTAAATGTATACAAAAATATTTCTAGATATAAAGAATAATAAAATAAATAATATTTGAGTTAAAAATCTGACTTAAGTCTTCGTCACGTTTGTGTCAAATTATTAAGAAAAAAATGAGCAAGCACTCTCTAAGTACAAGCTGTGGTCTTCATGCAATATTCATTTTATCCATAGTGTGATAAAATTAAAGTAGCATTAAATGGTGCTTACTAAACATGAGATATTTTTCCCCCGCCATCTGACTTAACTGGCTTAAAATATGTTTGAGTCTTTTAACTTGGGATCTGTCAATTATCCATAAAGAGAATTTATGAATGATCCAAACCTTTGCTTAAAAAACCCTTGCAGTTGGTGGTTTTGATAAATGTACGCACATTTTAATATCTTCATTGATAAGGCAACTACACTTAAATTTCATGTTTTTTAACAAAACTGTTTGTGCTGTTTACGCAAAATTAAACTTTTTATAAAGAGTTAAGGGAGATAACCTTTTCTGAAAATTTACTCAAATAGATGGATGAAAAGTGTTTATTCAAATTAAGAAATATTTTATTTCTAGGCAACTTAAGTATTAGATGTTGAAAGACATAAACCTCAAGGATTTAAATCCAGTTTAAGGCCATGAACAACGCTTAAAGACATAACACATTTAAAATATCTAATTGCATCTAAAGTTTAGAACCCAATTATGTCAAGATTCGTCTTGGACGTCCCGACTTTTGAATTTAAAATTTGTGTGTGTTCAAAGTTTGTCCATGTTTTAAATAATCAAGGCATCTAAAATACAAGGATGCAACAGACTGAAAGGTATATATACTCATAGCAAGGTTAAAATGCATTCATTACTCAAGCGTATAAATCCGCCTGGTTTAAAAGATATTAAAAGAGTTTAAATGCAAGAAAATTTGAATATTATGAATTCTCATAGCATGTTAATGCTCATATCATGTTCAGTGTAGTATAGATTAGATGTTAATTCTCAAAGCACAGGGTAATTTATATTTTTTTCACTGTGTTCACTTAAATTCTTGAATATAATTTACAAAAATACACTTACATTTGAGAAGCTATTACTTTCGTATCCCAAAAAATTTTTAACATAGTTCTTAGAATTACAAAATAGGAGAAATGATTAAAGTATTGTTATCTTAAGGAAGAATAAATACGTTTCATTCAAAAATTATTTTCAGAAACTTTTACAAGAATTCAGATGCAAATTAACAATACTATTTGTGCACGGTATTTTTCAAACGTAATAAGTTATATCTATTACTCCGATTCACTCATTTATGTATTAATTACTATTATTATTATTGCTATAAAGAAAAATTTTATGAATATTATTTTTATTTAATTATTTGTTAGCAATAAACATTCTAACAGGGACTCGTATCAAAACACAAAAAATTGCATCATTATGACAGTATAAATGTATTTTATCTTATTTAAATAATTTTATTTATTATTTAAATAATTTTATTTATTATTTAAATTTATTTAATACGCTTAATTTCATTTTTTGAGTCAAATGTATGAAACTGATGGCATTAGACATTGGTACCCTCTGGGTTTGGGCATTCAGGCACAGTCTTATATTTGTATACTCAGATATTAGCGGAGAAGTTCTTTATAAAACAACACACAATGTGCATATTTATAATTATTTCTTATTTTTCGATACTTCACAGCGAAAACTTCAGGTAAGGTTCTTAAACCTCTGCACAATAAAAAGCAACTGTCAGAGATTACTCTATATTATTTATTGTAAAAGTCACATTAATATGAAATATGATTTAACATATGCATGTCATTAAAATATAGCATTACTAATTTTTTCTTTTTACTCGTTTTAGAATGAAACAAACACATTGTGCAAAATTTATTCAGAAAAATTAGCATAAAATTCAGTAATGCACTCTAACTACGTAAGAAATTCATAGCTTTTATACAAATATTAGAAGCATAAAATGTATTTATAATAAAATGCGGGTATTATTTGATATTTGCAAGAATTTTTATCCAAATAAATTGGCTCCTGTCACAAATATTTGATGGTTATATGAACATAATCTATACATAACTGCTGTTCATTTTTTAAAAAGTATTAAAAAGGAGTACGTTGACATCAGATCATTTCAAGAGCATTTTACTACTCAAATTGAAGTTGATTAAACGAAAGGAAAATAAAATGACTCACCTCGTAATGAGTCTTGATCATTTTCGGATTCACTCTCTGATAACGTCCCTTTCTGCCAAGGATGCCACGTGCTCTCTCGGAGCCGGCTGGACTTGGATCCCGTGAACTTAGTCGGGTCGAGAATATCGTCCACGGAAAACGAAGTATGAGACATGGAGGTCTGCGCTTGTAAAGCTGGCATCATCCCACGCTTCCCTTTCCCCAAAGCATCGAAATCTCTTAAACTCACTTCTGGATTCGATCTCTCAGGCGGGGAACCACCATCCATGGCAAAACGGTCAATACGACCAGTAATGTTGCACTTTGAGGATTGCCTCAGTGAGATGCTTGTGGGAAGTCCATAATCAAAGTCCTTTCGGAGGATGACAGCTATTTATTTTACATACAGTCTTTCAGTACTTAATAGGCTACTCTAATTAGCAAATTCCGCGTTTCGTTTAGCTTGTGAATAACAGGGACTTTCCTTTGCTTAAACTCCATGTGGACTAGGCGCGTGTCGGCCCTACAAGCAGAAGCGATGGGAGCTCGGGATACGCCTTCTCTCGTTCGGGATACGTCATTGGTCCAAATTCTGAATTCCCACCCCTGTGAGTGGCAGACATGACGTCAATGGAGGTGGAGCTCCGGAAGTCGACAGTGGACCGCAAATCCTATCTGTTGAGCTGGTAATCATCGAGGCTTTACTGCGCGATGCTGCGGGGGAAAGAGTGAGACCGGTCAACCCGCTATGGCCGCTCATTTGGTCCATTATCGGGTGTTTGAGACTCAGTAGAAAATTGGCGGGTGAGGGATGGTTTAGACAGCGTCTTTCACGGGTCGTCTGTCCTTCCATTGGGTAATCATCCTCATCCGGATCTATGTTTGATCGGAAAACAACGTCCCCGCCAGCCATCTGCTGCTTTTGTTAGCTCTTCCATTCACAAAGCAATACCATTTTTTTATTTCACTTTTTTAAACCCTGGAAAATTAATTAGCTTCAAAAAGGAGTCAGAGGGTCGAAATGCTAAGTGAACTGGCTTAACAGTTTGGAATTATATCAAAAGAAAATAAGATACGTTTAAACGTCAGGATAAATAATTTTCGTAATGGATACTTGAAAGCACGAACTCGTTTAAACATTGATTTTTAGAATTGTTTTTTTATCACATTCCCAGAAACATCTAAAATACTGAAATTTTCTTAGATTTTTTTAAAATTTTTATAGTTACTTACACTAGTGTGTGAGAATAAATAAATATATATATATAATAATAATATTAATTAAAATAAATATGCTTGTATTAATTAACGATGCAAGAAGTTTCCAAGTTTAAACAAGGAACATATAAATGGCTTAAAATATTTTTCTTTTCTTCTTCCTCTTCTTGATTTATATCAGACAGTCATGTGATGGAAATCACTGAAAACTATAATTTATATTTAGATTTTTAAAATCTGAATCAGTATGTTTTACAAATATTGCTACATCAAAAACAAATTCTTTTAAAATAGAATAAAAAACATTAATTATGTATTTATGTTTAGAAGTAAACAGCCAATTCTTTTAAAAATATCGATATTCTAGCAATACAGTTAGGCATCGTTTCTAGCAATACAGTTTGGTCTTGCAAAGGATTCTTCAAAAAAGATATACGGATAAGAAAGTCGTATAACTGAATTTAGTTTAATGAATTTTTAGAAGGAAAATGTTAATTCTACTAATATACTTTTAATTTTATACAAATTTATCTTTATTCTTCTTCTTCTAGTTTGTTGAATGTATTATCTGCATTTTAAATGTTTAAAATACTTCATTTTTAAATCGTAAGGATTTAAAAGCATGCAACTACAATTAACATTTAAAATGAAAATAGGAAAGACTGTACCTATATTTTACTTCAAGAATAAATAGCATTATTATCTAAAAAAATGTTAACATCGATACAGATTTTAATCTTTTAAAGAAAAAAAAATCTTCAGGTGATATCTGATGAGCCATTTGATTTTCAGCCTTAAGCAAAGCTCTATGAATTTAATTAAATTCTTTAACTGTTTTCTCATTAGTATTATGACAAAGAAAAAAATTTCTAAGCGTACCAACGTAATGAACAAAATCTTAAAATTAAACTGATTTCTTCACTTCCTACTTCCATTCGCGCTGCTTAAATATTTAAACGTAAATCAATCCGTTTTTCAACTTCGCATAATTTTTGACACTATTTTATTGGCATCACAGTTTACTCAATCCTCATTTCCTTCATTTAAAAAAAAAAAAAAAAAAAAAAAATCATCACTTTCACTGATTTTGGACATTTTTACCTAATTCTGGATTTGAAAACCTCTCTGTCATAAAATAATTTTTAATTACTTCCGATTTTATTTGAGTCTTGGGTCCTAAAATATTCATAGCTTCAAGATATTTATCTTTCTCTGATTGATTCCTGCAGCAGTGTTGCAGGCGATTTGAAAAATTGAATCTGATCAAATCTAAAAGTTACATTGTTTTCATAAATGTTGGCGCTATAAACGTTATTATTATTATTTTTCAGATATTTAGTGTATTGATTCATTAAAATCAGACTTTCTGTTTCGTCTTCTCTTCTTTTTTTTTTTTTTTTTTTTTTTTTTTTTTTTCCCAGAAGGACTATTTGACATTTTGCGTTCATTCTTCATAAATGTCTGTTTACTTTTAAAATTGTTTCCACCAAATATTAGAGCCCTATATTTAAAGAAATTAAATAATGAAGAATCTGCATAAATGTATGTATGTTTCTCGCATTGTGATAAAACGACGGCACTTAAAGGCCATCAGATTTTGAATAACGTACGTTTCCACCTGAATACGGGCATCTGGAGGCTCAGATTTGGAATTTGTTTTATTATCTATTTCATATTTTGTAAAACTTTAGCAATTTTTTGGTTAACAAACTCAACGATTTAAAAGCGAGCAATGGCAACACTGCATGGGGAAAAAATTATCTCCAGGGCGCGAGACTGTGTATCGGAAATTCTAAAGATATGCTCATTTTAAAATTATTTTGCGATATTGCTGTTGAACTGAATTTCATGGTTTAATCTCTGACTTATTCTACATGGGGTAGAGCCTTGAGCTCAGGCACCCAGGTGTAGCAAACACCGCTCCACAGAAGAGGATTTCAGCTCTTACGTAGGACTGAAATATCTTAAATATTCATCCCCTCCTTCACGTACATCTTCACGTACAACTTCCAAATACTCCCCACCCCGCGAGAAAAAAAAAAAAAAAAAAAGGAATTCTGGAACCGTTTTGAGCTGAGAAAATAAAAATCGATGAATGAGTCAAGGAGAAATAACATATAGCCAAAGTTATGAATCGTATAAATGAAATATTTTACCAGTAACATTAATACGAAAAAAGATATCTGAAATCGCTAAAGCAAAGAAACGTCAGCTACCTCTTCTTTATCACCTAATATTCAGTTTACTATATTTCGCTGGAATCTTATTAGATAATTAAAGAAGTTTTTTTACAAAATCTTGAATTTTAATGTCATAGATAAAAGATATTATTCCCCAGCATTCCCCTTCCCCAAGGAATCTTTCAGAAACGTAACTGTGTATAGTCTTAATTTTAATATATTATCTGAATAATGTTAATAAACAATTACAAGCAAATTGAATTAAAAGAAGAATTCAGTATATATGACAAATAAAAACAAGCCGAATACTTAGGAGTTCATGCTTTCTTTGCAAGAACATTAAATAAAAATCCTGCGTTAAAACTATGGCAAGATTCAATCCTCAAGTTACCAACAATAAAGACTTCTTTTTTCTATTTTTTATTTATTTATTTATTTTAATGTTTCAAAGAAAGAGATCTTGCTTTTCTAACAAAGAATCGTCTTTCTACTTCTCTCCATTTAAGCAGTAAACTGTGAAACGTTTATTAAACATTTAGCAGAAATTCAATTAAAATTAAACTTAATTATTTTTTGAAGGAACAATGACAAAATGAATAAGATATAGATTATTTACATTCACTTATAAACGCATGTGGATGTAAATAGCTTATATTTGATGTATAGTTTATTAAACATGTCATCAGAAACTTAAAATGAGTTTTTAATTCATAGTGAATGACGATGAAGCCCTAATAAAACAAACACTGATGAAATAAATTAATTTATTAATTTATTTCATCAGGGTGAGCGAAAATTGATATTAAAAACTGAATGAAAATGTTAAATGTAAAATAAAGTTAAATCTAAAATAATAAAAAAATACAATTTTAATATTTTATCAATTACTAAGTAATGTGACTAAAGTTTTCTTTCGACTCAAATATGACTGGAAAATGTAAATGAAGATTACATACGACGCGACGACGCTATAAGAAACTTTTACGATAAAGGTGTTTTTCCCAGCTCATGTTTGAGCGATTTTTGGTCGAAGCAGTTGCACTCGATAATTTATTGAGCGTACGTACCTGGGGAGTTTGCTAAGCCGGGAAAACGTTTCTCCTGCCGATCTTCCTTCATCGCCGATCTGTCAACCAATTAGATATCCTGCAAGCGAAGATTCTTGGAAATGTTTCTTTCCATGCATAGGTGAGTGTAACTGGCATGTGTAACCGTGGTTTTACTCACCAGTGACAAGAGTTAAATGACTGAGTTATTCCTTCTCCAGTGGTGAGCAGTTGCTTACTGATGTCTCAGTTAACATTCTATTCCAGGTAGAATGGCCTGCTTTATATGGTTTGAGTAGCTTTATCCTTGAGTAACTCCGAAAACCATTAAGATTCCCTGTGAAGTCCCTTTTTAGTTCTCCTGTTGTTCTGTCGTAATCAATTAACTAATCTACAGATACTTTTGCTAAATCTTTTAAAATGATTAGAGCTTTTCTTTAAAATTGCATATTTGATCTAAAATTGAATTTTGGCTTTTTCAGAGGAACCGAGAATTACTCCTATATACTCCTCAGTCCCCTGTCAAACATTAGTTGAGGTTAAAGTAAATAGCATGTTTTCTCAAAGGCCAGTGATTATGTATACTATTTGACAGAGGTCTTAAAATTACTTTCCCCCTGGTGTCGAGGGGGGGGGGAAATATTACCATTTAATGAATATTCGTAAACTTTCCTTTCGTAAAACTAAGTTTCTTTCATCTTTGATTGAGCAAAATACTTTAATTTTGAAGCAGTTTCCTACTTAATTTTAAGTTCTAAATAGAAATTTAACAATAATTTAAAACGTTACAAAAATATGCGCAATAAAAATTAGCTTTGAATATTTTAAACTAGTGTAAAATTTTGCATTCAGTCTGGCGAATGATATTAAGTCATATCTTTATAAGCAAGGGTAAAGGTTAAGATGCATTATTTTCCCTTAAAATATAAATTTTACTTATTGTTCTCAGAGGCGGCGCTAAGCTTTCTGCCGCTCCAATACTACAAAAATTTTAACTTTCCTAAATTCTGCCTCTTGTGCTATTTTATTGTTTTC